TCTCTCTGTCTCTCTCTCTCTCTCTCTCTCTCTCTCTCTCTCTCTCTCTCTCTCTCTCTCTCTCTCTCTCTCTCTCTCTCTCTCTCTCTCTCTCTCTCTCTCTCTCTCTCTCTCTCTCTCTCTCTGTCGAAAGTTCGAAGTAGATCAATTTTTCCCAAATCAAAGTAGAAGGACTGTCCACAGGAGTAATATAAACACGATACGAGGTGATATATTCAAGCAGGCCATCCGTGCAGTAATAGGCTGCAAGGAGCGATAGCAGCGGTCCTCTACCTTATAATCTCTCATAGGACGATGCAAACGCAAATGATGTCTTTGTAGGCACCACGTGCAACCTGTCCTATTGCAAAGAACGTCGCTTTTCGCACGTATGCGTTACATAAGACCAACAATTGTCGTGCTAGAAAATGGAAGCGGCTGGCGAAAGTGACATACTGTCCCGTTTTCTGTTTTGGGTCCTCTGGTAGGTTAGGGGAGGACACTCTAAATTGACATTTTTCATGACGTTGAAAAACCTTAGGAAGACGGGCTGCCACGTGACTTATCGTCAACGATAATGATCGCAATGGTCATTCAGTAACAGGCGACAGGATTTTCCATTTGATCTCTTGGGAAGAATGAACGACCCCAGTACGGACTCGCATGTCAATGTGATTCAAACTGTCAAGTTGACAGCACTAGGAACATTTGCCTATCTGGATCCCAGGAGGTATTTGACAGCACTAAGGTAAGGATCTTGGAACATTCAATTGTAGGTAATGAACATATGAATACCATAACAATCGGGTGTCAAAGACCTCAAATACCTTTTATAAATATTGACTTGGAGTCAATATTTCAACCTTAAATACCTTTGAACCTTAAAAGTTCAACCGGAAACGTCGACATACATCAAAAAGATTGCAATTGGGCTAATATATATTATCTTAAGGAAGTATCATATGCTTTTCTAGGAAAAGCATATGATACTTTGATATCATATGATATGATACTTAGGAGAAAAAACAACAATTATGTTCTAAATTCGCAGAAAACACAATAGTCATGACTTCGGTAGCTTAAAGACGCAACCAGTCAGTTTAATGTCGGAAAATATCAAGGTGACCCTGATATCATCCCTGATATCATCCCTGATATCAACCCTGATATCCCTGATATCAACCCTGATATCATCCCTGATATCAACCCTGATATCAACCCTGATATCCCTGATATCAACCCTGATATCAACCCTGATATCATCCCCTGATATCAACCCTGATATCATCCCTGATATCAACCCTGATACCAACCCTGATATCATCCCCTGATATCATCCCTGATATCAACCTTGATATCATCCCTGATATCAACCCTGATACCAACCCTGATATCATCCCCTGATATCATCCCTGATATCAACCTTGATATCATCCCTGATATCAACCCTGCTTGACGGGCTTCTCAAGAGCATAATCTCAATAAATGAACAAATCCACAAGGATTTTTGTGGATTTGAACAAAACCTTGTGGATTTGTTCATTTGATTCATCAGGCTATTGTGATTTCTGTTTGGAACAATGTAAGTACATCGATCTAGACGTCACAGAGAGACCCAGTATCTCAAACTTTATATATATATATATATTCAAGGCACAAGGACAGAGGCATTGCTTGAACTCGAATGCACGTGGAGAGAGAGAGTGATAGTGATGCTGCTCTCTGCAAAACGACAATCGACGGTTTATAGTGAAAACTCATATTCAGGGATGGATTTGGGATGGGACGGGGGAAAGGAATGGTGCCCAATTACTTGTGGACGGTCGGGAACTGAACGCCGACCTGCATGAAGCGAGACCGTCGCCCTACCGTCCACCCCAAGTGGTTGGACTTAAGTGTAAAGCAAACAGAATATATTGAAATTTAGCGTTAAGAAAACATATTAGAAATACCGAATATTTTAGCAAAATTCCGGACTTAGGTGAAATGAAGTTCGAAATGAGGTGGTAATGCCCGAACTAACTCCAGTTTAGCAATAACAGAACTATGAAAATGTTGGATGATCTGTACACCAGGAATGAATTAACTTGCAATCTTGCTAATCATCTTTGCAAGATTCTTGGTGCTACAGAGCCTTGGTGCCTTCTTTTGATAACTACTACACAAGATTGTTATACATTACGTTCACTCGTAGCACAGGTGCTATCACTAAACTATCTTTACAGTGACCACAAAAAAAGGGGAGTTTTAGAAACGTATCTGAACTGAGTATCTTTTTCCTCGCAAAAGTCTAAAAGTACCTTTTATATAATTGTTTAAATTTAAACATTACATCTGCAAATAATAAATTAAATAGCTCGTGCTTGAATGATAATGTCATACCTACAACCATTAGTAATGTGGTCTTTTATGGAGGAACACAAAAGTGGATTGACATGAATGTTCTGAGTGATCCCAAATGTTGAGAATTTGTAGCAGTGTATTAAGCCAAATAACTTTGATGTTGAGCAACAAATTCGCGTCTCATTCCTCCTGTTGGAGCACTTAGTAATTTTATTTTCGTATGTTGCACTGGATGTGAAAATACTATATATATATATATATATATATATATATATATATATATATATATATATATATATATATATATATATATATATATATATATATATATATATATATATATATATATATATAGAGAGAGAGAGAGACAGAGTCGGTGTTTAAACAACCCGTTCTCGCACTTGCTTACGGTCACTATTGGCTTATTTAGTAAGTGCATATGTGACATACTAATTGATTGTGAATATTTTAGTTTACCTTGAAAAGCTTCATAGAAAACACCGACCTCACCTAACCTTCTTAGTATGTTAAGATAAGCATCTTATTGCTTCATATTTACAATTATTACTTAACCTATCAACGGTATAGGTTAAGTAATAATTCCAGTTACACCTTTCGGTTCGTTCTGAAGCCCGGGACTTTGCGCCCACACACAAACGCGCGTGCACACACACACACACACACACACACACACACACACACACACACACACACACACACACACACACACGCACGCGCGTGGGCCAAGCAAGTCACCGTGGCGGAATCTTCGTCCGTCCTGAAGTAGCTATGATGTGCTGCCAATTAGCAGAGAATTCATGGAGGGAGAGACAACAGTCGTTCCTCAAGCAACACCAAGAACAGGGGGAGACAAGCACGACTCGAGGGAGGAACAGTCTTCAGAGAACTCTAATGATCACCAGCAGGACACCTGCCCCCTGTATCATGTCTATGTGTCCCGGACTTCCGCTAGCCAAGTTCTCAACTTAATAATTACCAAATTATTATACAAGACGCTGTGTCATTCTATACAACTTCGTATTGGCTATTAATGTATTAATATATCTTTAAAAGCTTTCTTCATTTGACCAGATTATGCACTAGAAGGTGAAGGGACGACGACGTTTCGGTCCGTCCTGGACCATTCACAATCGACTTGAGAATGGTCCAGGACGGACCGAAACGTCGTCGTCCCTTCACCTTCTAGTGTGTGGTCTGGTCAAACTACGTTATTGTGACTCATCGCTTTCTTCATTGTTATTTTCATAAGCAAACTTGGTTATTATTTTGGTGAATTTAATTATAATTTTTAGAGTTTTCACTTGTTCGGTATTTTAGCTTTGATCTTTGATCTCCTCTACAGTTTTGAAGCTTTGTATACCAAGCCAAAAGGCAAGGAATTGTTGTTGATTAAGATTCGCTACTTGGAACAAAAAGTTTCAAGTAGCACGGGCTATGGTGAGCCCGAAGTGGACTTACCTGGCACACGAGCGGGGCTTTAACTTGAGGCAAGGAAACTAGTTGTAATATATTTGTCACATGTGGGGTTGGTCAGTGTAGCTATTGAGGCCTCAGTAACCCTCCATAGGCCTCAGTAACCCTCCATAGGCCTCACCCTCCATAGGCCTCAGTAACCCTCCATAGGCCTCAGTAACCCTCCATAGGCCTCAGTAACCCTCCATAGGCCTCAGTAACCCTCCATAGGCCTCAGTAACCCTCCATAGGCCTCAGTAACCCTCCATAGGCCTCAGTAACCCTCCATAGGCCTCAGTAACCCTCCATAGGCCTCAGTAACCCTCCATAGGCCTCAGTAACCCTCCATAGGCCTCAGTAACCCTCCATAGGCCTCAGTAACCCTCCATAGGCCTCAGTAACCCTCCATAGGCCTCAGTAACCCTCCATAGGCCTCAGTAACCCTCCATAGGCCTCAGTAACCCTCCATAGGCCTCCATAGGCCTCAGTAACCCTCCATAGGCCTCAGTAACCCTCCATAGGCCTCAGTAACCCTCCATAGGCCTCAGTAACCCTCCATAGGCGAACAGCCCAATAACAGATTTGTTATATGTGGGCGGATAAAAGCGGTTAAATAAGGTCGTAAGTGATATATATAATTAATAATGGATTTGTATAATCTAAGAGCTACAAAACAGAGCAGTCAGACGCTGTCAGCCAAGTAAAATAACTCCAATACGGGCTCACCATAGCCCGTGCTACTTGGAACTTTGTTCCAGGTAGCTAATCTTTAACAGCAACAACAGCCAAGTAAAAGTGAGGGACATGTGGGATTTTCATATAGTATATATTTATAGACCATAGAAAAACTAGCCTTACGGGTTATTCATGCCCGTGCCACCTTTTGGGTGGCTTAATCTTTATCAGTCAAATACTAGTCTGTACCATCTCGCTATCTTGAGATTATCTTGAGATGATTTCGGGGCTTTAGTGTCCCCGCGGCCCGGTCCTCAACCAGGCCTCCACCCCCAGGAAGTAACCCGTGACAGCTGACTAACACCCAGGTACCTATTTTGCTGCTAGGTAACAGGGGCATAGGGTGAAAGAAACTCTGCCCATTGTTTCTCGCCTGCGCCTGGGATTGAACCCGGGACCACAGGATCACAAGTACAGCGTGCTGTCCGCTCGGCCGACCGGCTCTCGCTGTAACCAATGGTAGACTGTACCTTCTCGCTGTAACCAATGGTAGACTGTACCTTCTCGCTGTAACCAATGGTAGACTGTACCTTCTCGCTGTAACCAATGGTAGACTGTACCTTCTCGCTGTAACCAATGGTAGACTGTACCTTCTCGCTGTAACCAATGGTAGACTGTACCTTCTCGCTGTAACCAATGGTAGACTGTACCTTCTCGCTGTAACCAATGGTAGACTGTACCTTCTCGCTGTAACCAATGGTAGACTGTACCTTCTCGCTGTAACCAATGGTAGACTGTACCTTCTCGCTGTAACCAATGGTAGACTGTACCTTCTCGCTGTAACCAATGGTAGACTGTACCTTCTCGCTGTAACCAATGGTAGACTGTACCTTCTCGCTGTAACCAATGGTAGACTGTACCTTCTCGCTGTAACCAATGGTAGACTGTACCTTCTCGCTGTAACCAATGGTAGACTGTACCTTCTCGCTGTAACCAATGGTAGACTGTACCTTCTCGCTGTAACCAATGGTAGACTGTACCTTCTCGCTGTAACCAATGGTAGACTGTACCTTCTCGCTGTAACCAATGGTAGACTGTACCTTCTCGCTGTAACCAATGGTAGACTGTACCTTCTCGCTGTAACCAATGGTAGACTGTACCTTCTCGCTGTAACCAATGGTAGACTGTACCTTCTCGCTGTAACCAATGGTAGACTGTACCAGTTCACCATTACTATTGGTTCCCTAAATTTCCACCTGAAAATGACTGAGATATTTTTTGTCTTGATCTTCAGTCGTTGACAAACAAGACAGTCTGCAGTCTTAACAATGACCTGGTAATTTGAATTTCGGGAACAAACAAGCGAATTCCAGAGTTGTTAACTTGGGTGCTTCAGAGAGACAACTGTGCAACAATCGTAAATGAATTCTTCGGAATGCAGAGATTATTTTAAATGTCGGCTAGAGAAAAATAAAGTTGGTTTGAAAAGGAAGCAGTGATATTTATATAAACACACACACACACACACACACACACAGGCACACACACCACAGAGACAACACTCACACACCCACACAGTTGAGAGGCGGGACCAAAGAGACAAAGCTCAACCCCCGCAAGCACAACTAGGAGAGTACACACACACACACACACACACACACACACACACACACACACACACACACACACACACACACACACACACACACACACACACACACACACACACACACACACACACACACACACACACACACACACACACACACACACACACACACATACACACACACACACACACACACACACACACACACACACACACACACACACACACACACACACACACACACACACAGACACACACACACACACACACACACACACACACACACACATACACCACTCCATCTGTGAAGATGTGAGTGGTTGTAGGTCTTGAGATGGTTTCCATTTGTTGTTCTGTTTGAGCCTCTGTGAGTCATATGCAGACTAGTTAACTGGTAATCCTTAAATGACTTTAGACTTCATTCTTCCCATGGAGGAGGCTGCCGAAAGTGTTGATATGGTGTTCCCCTCACAGTGTTCAAGATAGAACTGGATAAGCACCTCCAAAGGATACCTGATCAACCAAGCTGTGACTCATACGTCAGGCTGCGAGCAGCCGCGTCTAACAGCCTGGTTGACCAGTCCAGCAACCAGGAGGCCTGGTCGACGTCCGGGCCGCGGGGACGCTAAGCCCCGGAAGCACCTCAAGGTAACCTCAAGGTATGGGTTGGCTTAGCCCTTGTTTCTAATGGTCAGTTTCAAGTCCACTTTCTCTACATTCTTGTCTAGATTATCTGTTCATGAACTTGTTCTCAGTAATACCTTGTTCTCTCATCTATCTCAGTAATTCCTTGTTCTCTAATATATATCAATAATACCTTATTCATAACCTCTTATCTTATTAAAGCCATTCCTTCTCACCTCATTCCTGCCTATATATCCACAACCACTGAATTGTAAATCCATCTTTCTGAAGATGTATTATTAAATACGAAAGTACTTAAGGAAATTCCTGTCTTAATCGTTCCTTCGTGGTCTGACACTGTCATATATAATATATTATATAATAATAATGTTTGCATACTTGGGAAGCAGGCGTTCCTTTAAGCATATTTGGTTAAATATGACCGCGTTGTTGGGGTCCCTGATCTTGTAAGCTTATCATGCTTCTATTTTCTTAATACCAGTATTAAGAAGAGCAATCATGTTACTAAAATTTCATGGTGAGGATATATTAGTAATTATTTATGGATTTATTTTCTTCGATGTTTCAGTCCTCTCTGGGACATCTTCAGGTAATTAATACACAAGGTACAGTATTTGGGTAGATAGATGTGTGAAAGAGTTGAAGGAGTATGGAATAAGGTAAAGGGGGAGGGGTGAATCAATCATAAGGTAAGAGGTTAGGACCAATCGGGGATTGGGTAAAATCAATCAGGTTTTACCCAGTCAGGGGATACCCAATCAGGGATTGGGTATTCTAGGTAGGTTGGTACTCTAGGTGGGCATGGAGGCTTTGGTGGAGACGTTATTATCTTGTACTATTGCTAGTAGGCTTTAAGACTTACTGTAGGACGTCTCTTCCCCCAGATGAAATATTGCTAGTAGGCTTTAAGACTTACTGTAGGACGTCTCTTCCCCCAGATGAAATATTGCTAGTAGGCTTTAAGACTTACTGTAGGACGTCTCTTCCCCCAGATGAAATATTGCTAGTAGGCTTTAAGACTTACTGTAGGACGTCTCTTCCCCCAGATGAAATACTGCTAGTAGGCTTTAAGACTTACTGTAGGACGTCTCTTCCCCCAGATGAAATATTGCTAGTAGGCTTTAAGACTTACTGTAGGACGTCTCTTCCCCCAGATGAAATATTGCTAGTAGGCTTTAAGACTTACTGTAGGACGTCTCTTCCCCCAGATGAAATACTGCTAGTAGGCTTTAAGACTTACTGTAGGACGTCTCTTCCCCCAGATGAAATATTGCTAGTAGGTTTTAAGACTTACTGTAGGACGTCTCTTCCCCCAGATGAAATACTGCATTTGGCTTTAAGACTTACTGTACCACCTACCCTCCCCACAGGTGAGACACTGTCGGGAAAGGTATTTGGGACAATCTGCTTTAATCACTCCGATTCCCTCCGCGCCTCACAACACAAAACAGCTGTTGCGTTTGGGCAGAACAGGACACCAACATACCTTCTCCAAGACGAATTTTAATTTTGTTTAATTTACCAATTAGTAATTAGTTTTCTTTTGAACATGACGCTATCCTGCCCGTAGGCTATGATGGAAAAAAAACACCCTCTACCTCAGTACTTGCAGGACAATGATCATTTTCACCAGAAAATGGAAAATTCTTTGGTCATTGCTATTTCGTGGTCAGCCTAGTCGTCGTTCCCAGCTCTGGTGGCAAGCATTCAAGCCAATATATTTAACCCTTTCACTGTGGGAATATATACGACAGTCGCAAAATAATTTCGGTACCGGAGGCATGTCTTGCTGTTGTCTTGAATTTTCCTACAAATATTAGTCGCCTTTTGCTCGATGATATATGAATGAATTCATCGATGTATATATCTATAAGAGATAATGTCTTGCTGTCCCTTTGTCCGAAGTTGGAGGACAGATGCTTGGGGCTAGCCTCACCGAAATGGGCAGAAGGAACGGTCTGGGGTATGGGATGAACATAGCCTGGTCTGAGTCGCCATAATTCGAAAGAGAACAGCGTACCAGAGTCACATTCAAACCCCCACGACGATTTTTGGCACTCCCCGCTTTCAAAACAATTTTTTCCTATTATAATACACACATAATTCAATGATTTCGGGAAAATTTACAGAAATTTCCTGCTAGACATAATTTGCCCGTAGTCCCATAAAACAGACCATCCTCTCTAAGCTTCAGGGGTGTTCTAAGCCTCGTCTTTTTCTCAGAGTAAAAGATAACTAATCTATTTTGAAATAGTTCAGTCCGCTAAGCTCCTCTCACATATCAACGATACTCAGTTATATTTTGTATAAGAGAGATGGAGACAGAATGCACAGCCATACAGATAGAGACAGACAGAAATAGACAGTATCGTGAGAAATAGATGGATAGATAGAAAAATAGATGGTTAAACGAATCAAAAAGTAGATATATGAGTAGATAGATGGAAAGATGAATGCAGAGGTGGATATATGGATTGATAGTCGGATAGTTAGGTGGATAGGTAGAGGGACAAACAGATGAATAGACTTCAGGGGCCAGATTCACGAAGCAGTTACGCAAGTTCTTACGAACGTGTACATCTTTCGTCAATCTTTGACGGCTTTGTTTACATTTATTAAACAGTTTACAAGCATGAAAACTTGCCAATCAACTGTTGTTATTGTTATAAACAGCCTCCTGGTGCTTCGGAGCTCATTAACTGTTGAACAATTGTAAACAAAGCCGCCAAAGATTGAGAAAAGATGGACAGGTTCGTAAGTACTTGCGTAACTGCTTCGTGAATCTGGCCCCAGGACATACAACCTCAAGAAAATGCCTTACCACTTTCTGGATGGGTGTTCGAATTTGACAAATTGACAAGGCTTTAACCCCAAATAAAAAGCAGTTGTATCTAGTTAGCTAAGTGGTCAAATCTTGAAGTCGTACAAAGGATACATCAAGCGTTGACATGCATTATATATCATCTTCCAAGATTGGAATAATGCAAAATTTAGAAGAAAAAATATATAAATATATTTATATATATCAATCAGGCTGTCAGGATACTAGGTGTATACAGGTGCGTGAATATCTGTCCCATCTGGGTTCGAGTCTCTTGCAGGGGTTGAGCCCTTTGTGTGTTAACCTTTGTATATATATATTACATGTATATGTATATGTATTACGTGTGTATATGTATATCAGTATAGCAGCTACTGTGTGTAACAAATTATTTTTCCTTTTGAAGCTTAGTATATTCTTTTCAAGCAATTTTTCTTAGTATGAATGAGTGGTTAATGACAGTGTAGGTGATGTTAGGGGAGCCGGTCGGCCGAGCAGACAGCACGCTGGACTTGTGATCCTGTGGTCCCGGGTTCGATCCCGGGCGCCGGCGAGAAACAATGGGCAGAGTTTCTTTCATCCTATGCCCCTGTTACCTAGCAGTAAAATAGGTACCTGGGTGTTAGTCAGCTGTCACGGGCTGCTTCCTGGGGGTGGAGGCCTGGTCGAGGACCGGGCCGCGGGGACACTAAAGCCCCGAAATCATCTCAAGATAACCTCAAGATGTATAGACAAATGGACACTGAGTGACAGGATCAACACTGTCGTAAGTGACAGGATCAACACTGTCGTAAGTGACAGGATGAACACTGTCGTAAGTATCAGGATCAACACTGTCGTAAGTGACAGGATGAACACTGTCGTAAGTGACAGGATCAACACTGTCGTAAGTGACAGGATGAACACTGTCGTAAGTGACAGGATCAACACTGTCGTAAGTGACAGGATCAACACTGTCGTAAGTGACAGGATCAACACTGTCGTAAGTGACAGGATGAACACTGTCGTAAGTGACAGGATGAGCACTGTCGTAAGTGACAGGGTTACAACCGGACAGAATACCCAACGACCAATCAGAACTTGTTGCAACGATCGACAACTGAAGAGCATGAGAAGCGCAAAATGACACTGTTAGTATTCCAGAGGTATGTAGCGCCCATTAAACTTGGATATGCTGTGATGGTTCACGGGAGGCGGCAAAAAGAAAGTCGAGACTGCAAATCTCTTGTTTTGCATTGTTTCCCCAAGTATTGGGGGACTATTTGGTTACTGTGCATTGTGCAAGGGGAGATGGAGCAGTCATTCGTAATGTGGTATATTTTGTGGTATGATCTCTCGGGTTAGATACTGTCTGGCTGTCTGTCTCTGTCTGTCTCTCTCTGTCTCTGTCTCTGTTTCTGTCTCTGTCTCTTCTCTGTTTCTGTCTCTGTCTCTGTTTCTGTCTTTGTCTCTTCTCTCTCTGTCTCTCTCTCTCTCTCTCTCTCTCTCTCTCTCTCTCTCTCTCTCTCTCTCTCTCTCTCTCTCTCTCTCTCTCTCTCTCTCTCTCTCTCTCTCTCTCTCTCTCTCTCTCTCTCTCTCTCTCTCTCTCTCTCTCTCTCTCTCTCTCTCTCTCTCTTCTCTCAAATCGGCTTTTGTCTATCAGGTCAAATTTTTTATTTTACAGCATTTCGCATTTTTCAACCTTTTCTTCAACAGCATTTTTCATTTATTCAACATTCATGTGTGCATATTCAAGCACACACGAATGTCATGTAGTAAATATCGGAAAAGCTATGTGCTAATTATATTATTTATAACCATTTTCCTGTTTCATATAATAGTTCCTGCTGGAATGAAGTGATAGTCCAGATGCATTTTGTTATATGCAAGCATCACTGTACCCAGTCAATGGACGAGTATTAGTGATTTTGAGAAGTTGTCCTTGGCTTAAACCTGGAGACCATCCCAGTGCATTACTGTGCTTTTAATACATAATAAAGCTAAAGGAATTGCAAACATGCTTAGGAAGATGTTAGACAACAGACTTGGGACCTACCTTGAGGTGCTTCCGGGGCTTAGTGTCCCCGCGGCCCGGTCGTCGACCAGGCCTCACAATCACAATACCTACAGCACGTCTTGACAACCATCTGGAGTAGTTGATGAAGATCATTATAGGTGTTATCGTTATAGATGCTGACCTATATATTATAGGTGCTGACCTATATATTATAGGTGCTGACCTATATATTATAGGTGCTGACCTATATATTATAGGTTCTGACGTATATATTATAGGTGCAAGATCGGTATAGGTGCTGACCAGCGTCTAAAATCGAGTGATTCTTGGTGGTTCGTCTCAATATGATTTAATCTCTCTTTGTCCCTCTAACACCCGTTTGGGGCGCTGGTGGCGTGACCGC